GCCATGGCTGTGGCGGGCGCCGGCGGCGATGTTTAGGCTAGGGTGTTGTTTGGAGCGGGGTTGTATGCAGGGAACTCGTGTAGTGAGCGACGGCGAAGACGGTGAAGTAAAGGTTGTGGGTGAGATAGCGATGGCGACTGTTGCACCTTGGTGTTGACGCCCGTGACGGCGTGGAAGCTTCCGAAGCTGGCCATTGTCGGATTAAGGTTACGCCGGGCCACTAGCGCAAACGCGTTGGAGGAAGGAGCGCCTGAGCCCGAACACTGCAAAGCGTGACTCTCTTCCACGTACCTACGAGTTATGTACTTTTATCAGTCACGTTCCACTATCCCAATCTCGCCTTATATAGATGAAGCATCATTTCATTACCGTCACGCTATTCTCACACTATACGAGACAAACATAGGGCCGCCATATCCAGCCCCGAACCCTCACAGCAATTTCTCACCGCGCGATTACGGGCGCGCTTACCTGCCTTAGTCGCGCGAGCTCGAGAAGCATCGACAACGACTTGGTCGTCGTGCCATAGTTGATCTGCACACTCTGCTCCTCGGCCACGTTGTCCTGGATTCTCAGACTGCTCAAATGCTTGTATATATCTGTATCCAGCGGAGCATTGACCTGAACAGCGTAGCCACGAGATGCATTGTTGATAACGATGCGTTCGGTCTTGACGGGAACTTCCCGTGGCGATGCTTCTGAGTCATCAACGAGCGTCTCGTCTTCGCTATCTTCGCCATCACCATGACCCGCCTTGTCGAGAGCCTTGAGATCAGCCAGAGTCAATGGGACAAAGCCGTCATCTAATATCGTTAGTCTGGATACATCAACGTCAGCCGAAAACCCACTTGATGGACGTCGGCCCTTGAGCAGTTGTGCAATTTTCAGGCCCTTGCAATCCTGGACAAGCTCCCGGAAGGACTCGTCGATCCGCTGTATAGCTTCCGCATTTGCAACAGCTTGTTTCCCCTACATGCGTCACATAATCAGTCAATGTCTCACACGATTCGAGGCTCAAAGTTCTTACCATGGTGCGGACTACTCCTACGTGGGCGACTTGAATGGATAGCACGAGCACAGCCTTCACTTGGACCAGCTCGCCCATGATGGCGCTCAGCTTCTTCTCGTCTGCTGAGCCGTCCACCAGCTGGCGCGCAAACTGGATCATCTTACTTGTGGTTGACGGAACCAAAGTCTTGATCAAGGCAGCCAGCCTCTCTGACACGTCTTGTAGTCGAACCAGCTCCGCGGCAACAGTGGGTGTCTTCAGGTCCTGCTCATCGTAGATCATACCCATGATTGCCTTGATACTTTTGAGTTCGCTATAGTGTCGAGCCAGGACCTCAGGAAGACCTTTCTGACGAGCGTTCGCATCGCGGAGGCGTTTGAAGATTCGGAAGACTTGCTCTACGAGTTGAGTAGTAGCTTGGATTGCGGATACAACAGCCACCGCTTCAGCCTGTTACGACAATTAGCCTTGTCACCCATACAAACGAAGTGGACTTACCATAGTGTTCAAGGTATCGGTTGAAATTCCCTTGGAGAGATAAGAGCACAAGTACCAGGAGATTGCGCAAACAGCTCGAAGGGTGCGAGACAGCACTTAATGGCCAGCTGAACTTACCCAGAGCGTTATTGGGGCGCAGTGTCGATTGCGAGTTGACCGTAAGTACGGTTGGTCCGGTGACAGTTCGCAGCGTGCATGCAAGATAGCGACCAGTGATTCGCCCCCGCGAAGCGATCTGCAGCCATAAATGCACCCCAAAAGAACTCCAAGTTCGCACCGCCATTGGCGTCCAATGAGGATGGACATCTCACTGAGAGAAGCGGTTGAAAGCTGACATTACTTGTGCATGATGCCACGTCGTCCTTGGACCCCGGACGGGAAGACGGTGGAGGTTGCGCCTAACTCCAATTGCCGCTTCTTGTCTCTTCGCTTGTCGGTTTAGCCAGACCTGACCGAGCCAGCGCCGAAGAGGAGATCGAACTGGCGATGCTTAACAACATAGAAGCGATATATGGCAAAGTCGTCTTTCTCTTCTTCCGGGTAGCAGGCGAGATTGACATAATCATTCGTGGGCGGAAGGTGGATCTGGTCTGAGCCAGCTTCTACCGTGAACGAAGAACTCCTGTATACTGCGAGGCTCAGCCGACGCACGATCCTCTCCGCGATGTAATTATTTGGGAAATCGGGTCGAAACATGGCGAAGACTGGGTGCCGACTGTCATTCTTGCTTGGCTTGAGGATCAAGTTTTGTCCTTGGTGGACAGACCGATCCGAAGCGCATATCTAGTCGTCGTCAGCCGCCACCTTTCAAATGGTCACGCTGGATGCTCTTACTGGGAGTTGTGCAGTGAACGTTGCGGACACCTTCGACGGAGCTGAACTCCTCAACACCTTGCGTACGTCCGTCATCGCTATGCATCTACTCGGTAATGCTGATTGGCTCACAGGGTGAACGATCTTCGGATCCCAGCCATACTGATAATTTACGACTAAAGTATTGCTTGGAATTGTCAGGAGCGTGCTCAGTCCATTGTAGCGGAGTTCGACTTACATGCTGAAATTGTAGACGTTGTCTGCCACAGTGCCATTGATTTGAAGAGCATTACCGCTGGCGATATTCCGGCTGACAGACGCTACTCCCGTCATGACTTGGACTTCCTTCGACGTACGATTAGCAATAGACATTTGCGACATGTTCGACGGCGCCCACAATGTTTGCTGGATAACATCGGCTATGAGGACGCTACCTATGGGATTGACCACACTCGGATGCCTCAGCACATACGATGAAGGAAGGCTGTGGAGCTGCGATTGGGACAAGCCTCTGGCCAGCCGAGCGGGGTACGAAAAAGCCTTGACCGGTGTGCTGCAGGCTGCATACGGCTGCCTCAAGGTTGCTGGATGATGTTCTCACAGCCCTGTATCGACGTGCAGGTCCGGTCAACTCGCAACGGCAAAGCGTTATTTCAAGCGAATCATGACCCTGGATCCCGATGAAACGATAAGCGCTTCTTGGTTCCTGTGCAAATCTTCGGCCTGCGCGCGCATCACCTTCTGCCTTGCCGCAAGACTCGTGCTACACGCAGTGCGCTTCGCAGGATCATCAATTCCTTACCTCCTCACGCCACGGCAACCATGAGCGACAATGGACGATTGCGTCTTAGCTAGCGCTGCTTTCCGCAGCGTCCCAAACCCCGTCCGTGCGACATCAGTAAGCCCCACCTAGATGCAGCCCGGTCGCCTCGACTGCACATCATGGACCGCTATCATATACGTGAATATGTCGCGGAGCTGGTCAACCATACCCCAGAGCAGGCCGTAGAGATTCTTACTAGGTGCTGTGAAGAACGGGAGAGGACCCTCCAGGAAGTATGCTCATCCCTGATACGATCAAGACCAAAGCACAACGAGGCTCCCTTACCGGTCGGGAACAACATCAATGTCACATTTCCACCACGTGTTTCGCCATCTTCACATGGATCGCACCACACTGGAACCCCGCCTCCTCGCCAGGGGCCGCCACGCCGCTTTCCTTCCACATCATATCCGATAAGCCCTCCTGCTACAGCATCATCAGTAACATCGCACTCTACCAGGGACGAGAACAGCGCGGGAGAGTACATCCTGCTTCCCACTCTCGTCGGTACTAAGGTCGTAGACCACAAGGTCCGAATGAGACCGGCCTCGATCAAGCACAGCGTGATACGCGGAGACGTTGTTGGCAGACGACAACTCGAAGACTCCTTCAATATAAGTCAGGCCGGGTTGACCCACGTGGAAGTACCACATCGCGTAACCGGAGAACTTCGACTGGTACCAGTCTCATGCGCGATTGAGCTTACATGGCGCCAACCTCATTCCAACTCCACACACGAAACTTTGTTTTACGTGGTACCAAAAGAAACGCTTGACATAGACATCCTTCTTGGCTACGACGATTCGGGTCAAGAGATTGCAGGTGTGTACACAGTGTAGCGATAAGTGGGTTATGCGCTTTGGCTGACTAGATGTTCGCTTCTGCTAGAATACACACCTACTATCGTCCCTCAGTCCCCAGCTCGGCAACCTCCAACTTTCCAGAACTACAAGCAGGATTTCCGTCCTCTTGCACCGACACCACCTCCAGCATCTTTTCATCGATCGGCAGTGACCTATGATGGCGCAAGTTCCATTCACCGTCAAGACGACCGATACGACCCACATCATGTGTTAGATCCCCTCATCTCCCGGCAGCAGTCTTACGCAAGAGAGATGGAAGGCCAGCAGTCTTCACCGGCGCCAACAATTCTAGATACGCATATTGCGCATCCAAATCCTCTTCGACCGAATGTTGGCCCCAGCGCGCCTGTTCAAAATGCTGACCCTAAAAAAGCTACTGATAGGATCAGGTTGAGTGTTATATGGGATGCGACGACTCTGAATGTATGGCTAGATCTCAACGAGTACGGCGAAGACTTCTACCAAGCCTTCCAGCAACAGGCAGCAAAACAGCGCAAGGACATACTCGATCGAACCACTATGAGAATTCAACTAAAGAAAGACAAAACCCTCCCATATGAGGAAGCCTACTCGCTCTCTCTTGACGAGGACGAGTTGGAAGCAGATTGGGAAACGACCTGTGAATGGTTGAATGCGAACAAGAGAGACAAGATGCCGCACATCTATGGGGTGGTTGAGACGGATGGAGGGTGAAAGTTAAGTCTTTACCCGGCTTCTCAACCTGTAAAGCCATACACATTATCACACCGACATCGAGCGCTGCTTGGACAAACGAGCGCTTCCGAGGAAGTTGTCGAGGTGCTACCGCTCCCGATGTATGCGACGGGGCAGTGTGCGTCCACATGCAACACGGTTATGAGTGTTAAGGTCAGTGTAGCCTGCAAAGTTAAGAAGAGATCAGTAAGAATTAACGAGGAACAGTGGGAGTAAATGAGGCTCACGACACGAGAAGGGGTTGCGATTATCATCGCCCAAAACTATACGAATTGCCTATCTACGTAAACCTCTCGAACCCGTCCATCGACCCATCCAGATGCTCGGGCAGATCAAGCAGGACCATCGGCTTCTTGGGAGTCGAAAACCGCTTCGACCATGTTGACGCCGTTACGAGAACCCTTAGAACACCACCCGACGTTCCGTCCGCTGCCTTGTTGGACGATCTCACCAGCTTTCTCATGTTCTTCATGAAATCATCCATCTCGTCCCCCCAGTCTGAGTCGTAGAAGTCGACGGCGTCGATGAGGATGAAAATCGCTTTATGCTCCCTCCGCAACTCGCGTAACAGCTGTACTACCGCATTTTGATATGTTTCCAAGCACATGTCTTCCATGTTCGCCACGTCATCGTGGCCCAAAAAAGAAAGTAGAGGGAGTCCTTCCTCGTCCGTTGCTCCGTGCGCATTGCATGCAGCGAGCAGTTGGACGAAAAATGCCCGCAGCATGATTGCTGGCCCAGAGCGCACTCTGCTGAGTCCACAGAAGAATGGGAGAACGAGTGTGCGCGGCGTCCTTTCCAGTTTCTCGTAGAGAAGCGCGATGAGGAAGCTCAGCGGAGAAGTCTTCTCGAACTCGCCATGGCCTTGAATGCACAGTATTTGAGACTTGTCTAGCCCGCCTAGCCAATTTCGGAATTCGGCGGTGTTTCCTACCCAGCCTGCGCGATTCTGATACTTTGTTGGACTGTTCAGCCCATCCTTGAGTACCGTGGAGACCTCTGGTACATGTGTATGCTCAGATCGGTCCAGGTCCAGCTCTTTCATAAGATCCTTCGGAGTAAGCGCCGTCTTTGCGACTCGCTCCTCGAGCTCGCTTATCCTTCGCTCTAAGCGCGGGTCAGTTCGCGGCGATGGAGAAATACGTTCAAACTTACTGTAGTTCTCTAAGCTCAATCGTTCCCGTTTCAGTTCTTCCTTGAGATTGTCTATGTCACTGTTCCCTTCTTGATGTCAGCCGCACGCCAATGCAACCAGGAAGACTTGTGCCTCACACTTAGCATTCTTGATCACGTCATCGAAATGATCCTTGAGAGCGTTAATGCCATCGCTGACTTGTCCAACATGTTCGTCGACGCGGTATATGTTTTCGTTCATTTCATGGGATCGAGAATTGAGCTCGAGCGCTGTTGAGAGTGTGGCTTTTTGAGACCAAGCTAGGTACAACTGGGTTTCCTCCGTGAAGCGACTCCTAGACTGCCGGATGTTATCAACACACTTATCGATCCATTTCCCGTAGTTACTGTTCCTCAAAAGACTGTCTTTGGCGTGTTCTATGCGAATCAGTACGGGACGTGCGCTCTAGACTTATAGTTGGTGGTATTGGCAGAGTTGACTTACTCCAGGAAGACTGCTTATACCAGTCGATTATCTTCTCCAGAGCTATAAGAAGATTGGTGTAGATATCGTTGACGCACAGCTGTATGGTATTGCGCCCAGGGTAGAGTGTCTGATACTGCTCGCACTTATTGACGACTTCGGGAACCTCTTGCAGCAGATCTGCCATTCTCTCGCGGACTTGAGAATGTTCCGTCATGGCCTACCACATCTGTCAGTCTATGGAGTCACATATGTGATTGGCATCACAAACAGTCAAGATCAATGTCAGGCCTCCGCACAGAGTTTTGTACTCCCCGTCAGGTAATAGGCCTATAAAAGCCTGCATAGATTTCGCGTTGTCTCCAACGGTCCGAAATCCACTGCGAATTCGGTCCCATGTCGTGTCGTTGCTGTGGTACTCTTTCACGACCACCTGTATGAGCCCAGTGATCTCTTTCCAGTCGTGGTAAGAGTCGAGATCGAAGCTTGCTATCTTCTTCTCCTTAGATTTCTTCTCTTTCAATGCCGAGAGAGCATTGGAGAAGCTCTTCGTGGTTGCAACTACCCGCAATTTGCTGTCTCTCAATTCCTCGTCACTAGTTGAGGGTGCTGCATCCCACGCGACCGAGCGAGCTACGAACTTTTGACGGCTCGCGTCAAACCTGACTGGTAGCTCGCCGTGCTCATCCCGAAATTCCGTATGTCGATTCTCGATATAGTCAACTGATATGGGCTGTGCGGATGGACAGGGAAAACCGACTTCGATCGGTTGGTGGGCGGACATAGTTCCTTCGAAGTAGCGCGAAACCTACAGCACAGAAGATCCTCGACGTAGGGTCAACAGGAGCGCAACTGAACCGATCGCAAAATGCTACGATAACTCAAAGAGCGCTTCCAAACATCCGGAAACGGCGACCAGCAGATGCCTTGATTTTTGGACAAGGCTGAAGGCTTCAAAGCTGACATGCATGAGCGCATTACCAATGGAACGAGAAGAT